CTGATTTTTGGTTTTAAAAATGTTGTTTTCATTTTACCAAAAAACATATTCCATTACATAGCAAAATATTTGTTTAAATCACTATTATCATTCTATGATTTTCTCTTACAGCAATGGCACATCAGTAAATTTATTTACACAACTAGTTGTGTCACAAGACATCTTTGTGTGTCAGTGGCGTACCATATTAGCTTAAGAGAACCCACTAACCGACCTGAATATTTTTATGTCCTTCAAAATATTAGACACACATCACCAATTATTCTGGTTTTCACATTTTCCCAAAACATACGCTAATAATACTTGGATTGTTACATTTTGTGTATTTGTTCACATAGTGCGAAGATTGCTACCAATCCAAAGTGTTATTACCATGGCAACAGTGAAACCAAATGTTATTTTACAATGCATCAGCCACACAAATAAATTGTTCTATATACATGTATATTCTCTAAAAATAAACACTATTACTGAACACATCAAGAAATGGTATTGAACTAATCTGATCTGCATTCATGTTTTTTGAATTCTGCTTTGTAAAAGTTTAGTTTTAATCAACATCAAACAAGAAGAATTTTTATTTAAGTGACTGAGGGGTGTCTCAATAAACACACACACACAAAAAGACCATTATTATACACTTTTGCACATGAAGACCATCTACTTTTTCCATTATGATCAAAAAACGACCAAAAATGTGTAAATTTCAATTTTCTGGAGGTTAGTCATATGTCATCCAAAATTGTTGACAAGTTACCTTGAGATTATGATATAATGATTGTCTATATTAATTGCAATTTTAGACAAGTTTCCATAGGAACCAATTTGAAGAAAACATTGTTGTCAAAACAAACGTAGCTGATGACCATGAAAATCAAAAGTGAAGTCGATATACAATATTTGACTGTGTTATTATTAAGATTGCAGTGCAATACTCCATATTATTATATATCTGTCACCGTAATGCCATAAGTTACAGTGTGCCGTAATTTTGCGGTATTTTACGGGGTATTTTCATCCTACCATATTAGGAATGCGAATTTCAAATATGGAATGATTACGCATGTAAGCGTCCTCTGATAATAAAAACAAACATGGCTGCCACCAGGGTTTGACCGAACTCCACACAAGAATTCTGGGTAATCAAGGAAATACTCGCTGTTACGGCATGCATGATTGGCTGAAAATGAGTCTGCGCACTCAACACTGATTGAAACTAATTAAGAGACAAGTGGAGAAACAGTTTCCTACAAATCGGGGAGAAAATAAATGTTCACATCCAAACGATTCATTGAGGAAACATTAAACCAATCGCTAATAAAATTCGACTTCATTCCTCGTTTTTGCATGGACAATCCCTTGTATACAAACACCTTATTACACGAAGAAAATAGAACACTTTCCCTGGTATATTTGAAAGCGAAATCGCCATCCAACTAAAGTATGACGACCGTCCCTTACTGTTATATAGATTTACCCAGAGTGGGCATGACCACAGGACGACGCCAGCAAGATTTGAGATTCAATCACTCAGTCAAAACCAAAGCAGTTAGCCAATTCGCTAGCAAGTTTGCAAATTGGCTGCCCCAATACTTCTGAGACTTGCTGTAATGTAGCGTATTAATGTGTGTGCACTTGTGAATATCGCAGTGTGTTGAAATTCCCACTCCTTAGAAGTAAGCCTTTTTTTATGAATTAGTAAACTATATTAGTAGCATAAATGCGAAATTATATTATTTTAATTGTCACAATATCTGAAAATGAAAAAAAAAACATAAAAAAATTGACCAACTCCCATGGACTGTGATGCTGCAAGTTATTCAACTTGCTCACTTATTCGCCAAGTAAAGTAGAATATTACCCTTCATTCTGTTGCCATTAAATGCTAGTCATCCTTAAAAAAACAATAAGTTTATGAGGTGCAAAATGGTTTGTGTAGATCAAATCTACTTTCGTCTGCGAATTAGTGAACAAGTTAGCTAACTTGCTGCCCCAATACTTCTAAGATTCCTATAGATAAAATACACGAAATTGCTTTTATTTTACTATCATGATAAAAAAAAATTTAAAAAAAAATATAGCCAGACATTTTTCATCCTGTCACTCGTAAGTTTTAATAGATTCGGACATTGATTCGGGCACAGGTCGGATTTTAGGAACCGAGCCGCTCGTGTCATGTTCGGCGTTTCGATGAACGCAGTAAACGCAGGCTGTTTACGTAGAATACGAGAGAAGTCGGCCAATCGCCA